CCTAAGGCAAGAATCCAACCTTTGAAGGGAATAAACATCTGCTATACTAAGAGCAGTAGCAAGCCAGGAACTCTTCGGGTTCTTTCCTATCTTCACAATATCTCAAATCGACTAGGTAATGCATTATTGTACAATCATCTAGTAAAAATATTACTCATTAGTTTTTCAGTCTATCCTGTATAATTATATGCGTTGTGAAACGAATGGATATTTAGCACTATTTTTAAAATTACATGACATTCACCACATTCTCCGCAGGCTCATTGAACCGTCTAGCGAATTCAATAGTCATCGTGCGTAACGATCGCTTCCCGCGAATAATTCGCTTTTATTTTTATTATCCATCTTCTACATGTATATATATACATACCAAGATTCGACAAGTGGGTACTATATATACTCATAGTCGGTCGGAACTGGACACATGTTGTAATTACACACGTCCTTCTCGATCGTCAACGCTACCATGGTCACGGCCAGTGATTTCGGGTATCCCGTAGATTTGCGACACGTCGCTGCTATGGCTGCTTAGGCGATACTTGTACCGCGCGATTCTCTTCTCGATACTCCACTCTGACTTAAATGTGGGAAGCAACTTCTGTGACGTGTGAAGATGCTGGTATGTAAGAAGCAGAGGACGGGGTTGCTTTTTCGGCACCTCGCCTTCGATGGCGAAGTTAAGCATGGACCCCTTTTCGTAGCTTGGGTACCGAACGCCTGCGCTCTTAGACTGAGTGCAACTCTTCTGGCAACAGGCCTCAAACCTGTGCAATAATTCGAGAAATGATAAAAGTAGTTGTTGCCCCTCGAGCCTTGCTGTCCGTAGAATTCACAGTAAGAACGCCCTTCAAGAGCACCCCTAGGGCGGAGGAGCCAAGCGACTTCACCAGAGGTATGGAGGTACGCTCCGTGACTGTGCCACTAGCCCATTTGCGGGTGGGCTACAGTGGACCTGACGTGGCGAATGCTGGGTATGTGACATAGTACCGCAGGCGCGGGCCCCGAAAAAGCTCGCATTACCCGTGACGACCGCGTTTAGAAGCCCATACCGGTTCTGAAAGGCGAAGAGCGCCTTTGCCGCGGATCGGGTTGTTCCCTAGCGGGCCAGAAAAAAAAATGAATAAAGCGGGTACAATATACTGACCAGCGCAAACGGCAGTGCCTTTTCGGGCATGCACAGCGGCCCCATAAAATCTAAGTTTATCTTTGTAAAAGAGTGTATCGTAAGCTCCACAAGCGTCTGGGACAGATGACGCTTGTGGCTCGATTTTTCCCGCTGACGCGGACGTGCTCCCGTATCTTCGCCCAGATGCCCCGCTTCAGGAAGTAACGAGACGTAAACTGGTAAGCAGTCTTTGTTAAGCCTGGAGGTCTTTGATGCCAGAAAGCAACTATTGTATGTGGCCTGGAATAATACAAGGTGGCTCCCCTTAGCATAAGTCGATTGGCCCTTTCACGCTTTAACGGCAAGACGGCTACTTGACTAAAGCATGGTCACTAGCGGAGCTTAATACGGACTCGCCGTCTAATGTATTACAAACGATCCAGGGCCAATACCGTCACCTACAACCCCTCTTCGAAGTGCTATCCCATGTAGGCGAGATATGATTTGTTTCGCCGTTCTGGTACCATAAGTTAAAGTCATATTCCAACAGTTCCAGGGGCCACTGTTCTTGCTTTGCAGGTATTTTAACTTGTTGCAGATGGTCGCCATCACGAACGTAGATACAGGTATTGGTGGAATTTTTTACTATCTAAATAACAGGTAAAAAGTTCGTTTCCGACGAATGTTATTTCGCCTTTTGTACGGAGAGACGCTTACTCGTATAGGCTATCACGCATTCCACCTTATCTTAAAATTGAGCGAACACCACCTCCATGACGGAACCGCTCATGCGGTCTCTATTTTGATCTGCAAGTCTTTCTATAGCTGTTGTAAAATAGGGTCACTTGCCAAGGCGCCCTTCAAAACAAGAAATTTTCTACGATGAAACGTAGTCCATGCGACAGGGACTTTCGTTTTTAACAAACGGTGCGGCAGTTTTGCGACTTCGATAAAGTCCCGTATGAACCAGCAGTAGTGAAATATTAGCCCCAGAAAACTTTATAATTAACGCAGAGTTATAGGTGGCTTTGTGGCGTGTATGCCCGCAACCTTTTGTGGATCAGAAAAGATTCCCAGCGGGAAAATATTATGTTCGAAGTTTACAATCTCTCGCATAGCGAACGAACACTTCAGCGCCTTGAGATGTATATCGATGGCACTGAGAACAGGAAAGTATTCTCAGAAATGGTACAGACGCTTTTCTAGCCTCAGGCTAAGTGCATTAATCTGATATTGTAACTTACTTAATACCCGGTTCATCAACCACTGAGATGTCACCCAAGCGTTGGCTAACTTGAAACGCATCTGCTTAAATAGGTGTCTACCGTTTAGGGTATAACATGCGGTTTTTAGGGTATAACCAGGAGCCAAGGGAACCTGCCCAACACCTTGGTCTTCCTTAACACGTCGAGAGCGTGAAAATGGAAGACGTCTCTCTTTGTGACCGAAGTTAACTTGCCTGCCGTTTACGCAAAATCAGGTCGTCTTCTTCACGAGGACGACCAGGTAAGGTCACGGAATAGACGAGGGCTTGATCATGTTATCATCAACCATTTTTTGTACTCTCTTTGCAACGCAAATTGGTCACCGCGGGTATGCATACAGAGGAGGCTATCGGAATAATTTACCGGGTGCCCTATGGGTAACTTCCCGGCTTCACCAATAAATGCCTGAATCCTGCCATAGCAGCCTCGCCAGATGCTATTGCCTGAATCAACTCCAGCGTATGCAACCCGAGCAATTCTCTTAATGGATGGAAGAGCGCATCGGAGACCTCCGACGCGATGGTCGCGTTATACGGAATCACGAAGGTGCTTATGAGGGATGCAGGATCCTATCCACCTGAACCGCAGATTTCGGTAACTCGATGGTCGCGATTAGTTACTTCGACGACTCCGGAAATGTCAATTGCCTTTTTTGGCCGTCATGGGGTAATAATAAGGTAGGGCGCCTTTTTTTTTTTTACAAGCTATAATACGGAAACGATGTGGCCTTGTGTTCGACTGCTGTATACACAAGCGGGTGGAAGTAGTATCGTTTTTGACGCTGATAACCTACCGCGCCGGTGCGAAAACTCGTGGGACTATGTTGGACAGCCATGGCCCACTTAAAATCGGCTGGCTCTTGTCACGGTCCTTCAATGCATACCATCGGGCGGCCTGGGCGTTATACGAAGACGGATTAGTTGCCGCAATGAAGTTACAAAGAGAATGAACTTGGCTGTTCTTTTTATATTGTGTAGCAACACCATAGAGTCATGAGCTTGCCCCAAAGAGTTAGCTTGGCCTTCGAACGTCCCCTACCTGGTCTTCATGCCTCAGAAGAATGGGTAGGCTGACTCCCTTTGGGTAGAAACGTTTGTTAAATTTCTCTTTAGAAACGTCCCAGTTGTCCGCTCCAGCTGCAATCGCTCAATCATAGCATATCAAGGCGAACATTTACTCCTACAGTTCAATCAATGAGTAGTCTAGGGAAGAGCGATGCGCAAGAACTGCTATACATTGATAGTCGCATCAAACCATGGGCCTAGAGAATACAGCAGACACAAGACTCACTGGACAAGGGTTCTTGCAAATGGCTTAAATCTTAATCTCCAATTGATTAGCATGAGAAAGTCGAGAGCGCTTTTGTCCGGGCGATACAACTGCCAATTGTGCTAATGACTCGTCATTTTAAGGGCGTAATTCGAAGTGCACCCGTTTTGAAATAGTGAGCGGGCTGCGTTAAATTTTTCAGGAGCTTAAGGTGCGATCGAAAATCACTACTGAAGTCTTTTCTACATTGTCGACTATGATGGAAAAGCATCTTAAATGATGCCGATCAGAGTCATAATGATGCATCAGCAGTTGGTACGGTTGTGTCCCTGCGATCGTTTAGTTGTAACGCATTTGCTTTTTAAATTTAACAGCATATGAGATGAGCTAGGTCTTAAATCGGACGTGGAGATATATTTTTATTGGTACCGGTCGCCCGCTTTGTAAAATAATGCTCGTCGGCAGTACTGCATGTAAAATTCAAAATAGTTGTACATGGTCAAACGGTAAGCTTAGGGCTTCCTAAACAGGTCGAGGCAGTCAATAATGTGCTAAAATGTTTCCTTGTATTGTACTGTAGAAGCCCCGTCTGTATTGGTTGGCAAAGTGTATCTGAGCCATCAATGTAATTCAAGACCCAGCATTATCGGAATAAGCAGAACAGGTATTCATATCCATCATATATGCGCGTTTAGCGTGGCAATGCGTATATGGGTAGCAATAAGAAGTGCCAATATATAATACTTTACAATGCTTACTTTTGTTACAAATAGCTCATTCGACAATCTTTCACTTCCATTTCTGGATCTGTCTTGCTTCATGCTTCTTTCACTTAAACTTAGGACTTTTTTTGTAACGAAACTTCTTCACCAAGGCAACAGTGTACTAGACCTTTTTTCCCATTATCAAAAAATTAATGAACAAATACATCGAGTACACTGGCGTAGCGGTTGACGCCGGTACGGGTTATAATACCAATAAATGCTGTCTAGATTTAGTTGATAATTTGCTAGTAAAAATTTATTGACAGTCTTGAGTGTTATTTATTATATACGAGGTTTTAGTAAATTTACTTATGGTATTTCCTGAATAGAACATATGAGGCAGTTCCCAAGAAAAGGGGGAAAGTGTTTCAATCGAAACATGTTTTACTTTGGCCATACCTAAACACATACGCAAAATGATATAGTAAGCCAGACCAAATCTCATGCACTCGAAAAAAAACGGATATTTTTTTAACCATGTGCTTGCAAAAATGCTTGCAGCTCGTAAGCCGAGGGCAGAGTTACCTGCTTTCAGAGACGAGTGCTCAAATTATCTACAGTGACAAAAAAAACAGAAAATCGTCTTCTGTTACTCACCAATTGCACCAGCGTCATCTTCTCGGTAAAGTTTGACCTCTTGATAGCGATCGGGGTTGATCATTTGGACATATCCGTATATGATGAGACATCGCAGCGGCTGAAAATGAAATCGAAAATGTTAATATGGCCCTCCGTATTATATCAGAGCAAGCTGGGTACATAACGGTGCAAATGTAGCCTTATGATGGAGAGAACCACAGGTCAAGGATTATCAAACATCAGCGTAGCATCGAAAAAGGTTTATTGTTAACCAAACGTCAGTTGAAGCCGCAATTATTGCAACGGTAAAGTTATACGCTCCGTACTAAAATTATGTTTTTTCAAACTTGTAGACATTCCTCCCTCTCCATCTGTAAGCCTATTTTTATCCTTCCCTATACATAACAAAGATACACTTTTTAGCTTTTAATACAATCCCCCTTGCGGTTCTTAACTGCTACTTAAATATATTATAGAAGAAATGAACGACAAATTATGGATTATGTTTACATACTGCTTAGTTGCCAAATATCGACAACTTGAGAATGCTTTTAGCACATTTGAGGAAACCATAATTGTGCTCTTGTAATTCTACCTGGCTACTTCAGCTGTTATTTGGAGTGACTGAAACTTTTGCGCCCGTAAGTTATACTTTCCCCACATAGGCAATTACCCAAGATATTAGTACGTTAAGTGTAAGTTCCGCGTTATTTGCAATTGCGACGAAAACAGAGTAAGTGTACAAGAATGATACTAAAGCGGAGTGCATTATTTATAATACTGGAACTCGGAAACTGCGCTAGTGCTGTTCCATAATAGTAGCTCTAAGGGTGTTCTTTCGTTAAGATAACTTTTAGAGACGAAAATTCTTCTTTAGTAAAACCCTAGATCATGCACAATCTAATACGTAGATCAGATAAATATGCTATACTTGTGTATTCTCGTCGACAAATGTTTAACATTTTTTCAAGTATACCTACACTATGTTTTCTTGAAAAAAACTTAAATTATTGAAATTCAGAATTTAAAAAGGAAGAGAAAATAACTATACATTTTGTTTTTGAAGGTAAAATCAAAATGTCTGTTGCTATTATACATGATGCATGGACATGTCCAGTTATGACTTTTACATTCACCATTTAGCCTACACGATATCCAAGTTAACCTCGAAGGAATCAAAAATTAAATTTCGTGTAAGCAATGATCTTGCCTTTTGTTGTTCTCACTTTAGAGCGCCGCAGTTTCGATCAGGACCACGGAACGGGGTCGCATCTGTAGAAATTATGTAGGCAGATTTTTTTTTATCCCGCGTGTACCTGAGCTTGGCTGCATGAGGTTAATTTTCAAACTCTAGCCCCAACTTCTTCCAACATAAAGCTACAGTAAACTACACCACTGCCACGGTTTACAGTTTTTCTTCTCCGACCAGATGGCTTCGAGGTGATTCATAAAACCACCTAGTTCGATCGGTAGTTGGCTTTACCAAAGGCATTCCGTAGAACCGTTCACCAAAGTCGGCTTATACGCAAGATCGAACCTAGGAATTGCCTCCAGACAATCCTGAATCTGGTAATAGTGGTAGTTGCTATGCTTTTCAGGTCCATTGCCTAAAGACATAAGTTTTCTCATTCGGAATGAAAACCAGTGCTAGCCAGTACGTGACTATCATCCAGGGCTGTAATCCGCTATTAATAATCACCAGAGATATGTGTGATGCTGTTAAGGCGGTATAGGTTGTTAGGAACGATGACAAAACTATCCACTTAAATGTAATACTTTTTCCGCGTACGCAAGTATCAAGATATAGGCTAGTATATTGTTTTTTACTTCGAATAGCGTTTACTTTAGTCGAAGGGTGCTAATGTCTGCGGGAAACTCCTGTCTATTGTTGCAGATGGCAAGTCGTCTTCGAGTTATGGTAAAATGTACATTGCGGACCGTTGGAAAACCTAGCAAAAGGCGGAGAGGCAGAACGGGAAACCACGGTTATGCAGGTCACGAAGGAAATGAGGAGGAGCTTCCCTATCGGTAAGGCCGTTATTGGCACCTGTGAAGCGTTTGGGATTGTGTAGACGAGGCAAAATATAAAAACAACTAGGCGTTGGCCTCATATCCGTCTTTCAGCTTCCATGCCGCTGTGCAAAACGATGGCATCACTAATGGTTATTCTTTTTAAGTGACGCCATATTCTTAAATGAAGAACAGAAGCAGCAATAGCCCCAAAATGTGCTGCGGGGTTTGACGAGCTTACCTATTCCCACCTGCACAGTTCCAGTTTCCTCTACAAAACACGTATAAACACGCTCGGGTTTCATCAGCATTGTTTGTTATCAGTTAGATATGCTGCCTTATAGTAAAAAAAATATACTTAGCAATAACTCGCGACGCTAACAGGGTTATTGGTTCACTTCGTAGAAACATTAAAACAGTTACAGAGTATACTGTCAAGCCAATATCGTAATAGTCAGCTGGCTATGGCAATACAATCGGTCTAATAGCACACGGCGCAAATTTAACTCATTGATATGGGATTTCGTTACACTGCATACTAGAGATCTCTCCAAATGGCCGCGAGAATTAATAACATTACATTACTAAACAATCATACTTTCGCTGTTGTAGAAAGACACGCATATGACTTCGAATAAGAATCTAAAAAGATCTCTTTGCTTGGTAGATAAAATAGAGTCTGGCCTATAGAGGAGTCTTTGATATACCAACGACTAAATACCAATGCACAAATAAGGCTCAAGGTATTCTTTAGGTCGAAGAAAGAGAACGCTGATTTAGTTGACTGACTTCATTGTCTTAGTACTAAACCCTTACAAGCTAATAGAGGATCGTGTGGAAATGCTAGCTCATTTCAGACATTGATCCGTCTATCTAAAAAATAAAGTGCTCCCGTAACTAAATATTAAGATCATTCATAAAGCTAGCCAATAGCAATTTGGTAAAAGCTAGGCTTTCTTTTATCGGACGAGAACTATGAATGGTTCTATGAAGCTACGAGCACATCTTTGAGTTACGTTTATCAACACAAAGTGCATTATGTCTCAATTACGCCTACATGGTACTTTGCTTGTTTTTTTTTGCTGAACGTATAACGGTGCCCTATTATCTCAGTTATAATAACAACAGCAATGAACAAAACCAAAAGAATATATGCCTAGATTGGACGGGTTTGATCTCTTGCGACCTTGATTTGACATTGAAGTCCTTATACAGTTTGTCAACATAGAAGAAATGAGGCCTTGGGATTCGCAGATTGTCTATTGTGTTTCACTGCATGTGTAGTAAAGTCGCCAGTTATGGAACGCTAAACAAAGACGCAATCAGCAACTATATAATGGTTATTGACGCGCACACAACTGGGATGATGGACGCAGTCATTGAGTCTATAGATCAAGTTCGTGCCTGTAATGTTTGAGCAGTAGTTAGTGTTGCGCCATATTGGTATAGTCGTACGATTATATTATTTGCTATATAAAATCAATCTAATCCCACATTTGATTTGTTCCGCCGTTCGTTATCCGGCAATAAAGCATGGTTCAATTGGTCCACGATAAATCGACTAGAATGGAAGGATAAAGAATGAATGGTAGTCAAGGCAAGATTGCCACTTCGTAAATAGTATATTCGTAATGATATGGAAATATTATAGCAGTAAGAACCGTGGAAAGTTATGCTAACTTCAGATCAATTCTCAGACGTGCATTGACTGTAAGACCAATTGGTGAAATCAACATATTAAAGCAGGGCCACGAGTCGAATTGATGCACATGAATCGTTATAGTTCAACATAATCACGGTGGCTTTCGACGGAACTTCTCTCCCGTTTACATTGCGAACGCATTACTATCGATAAGCAAATAGAGAGAACAAAATAAGAGCGCGAATATTTCACACGACAACCCCCCTTCAAGTATCAGAGCCCACGCATCTTTCCAGCACGTGCCCTCTGCTGTTCCGTAGCATCGCAAGGTTCGTGTTATTCTGAGCTGTTCCGTCAGTCAATCGTATAATGCACCTTTTCCTAGATCATCTCAATCTCTAAAGAGATTTTCCACTCGGTCCACGCTACACTTACTTTTTTCTTCTTCACTAGGTTTTATCTGATGATGGTTAAGCTATACGAGACGTACAAATGTCTATAGCTTTCACTTCGCTACAGGCCTTTTCCACTTTGAGAACCACTGTGTATCTGAAGCCTTTAAGCTCCTATGTTTCGCCGTTAGGCACCATGAGATGGCTGGCTCCCAGCGTGAAATAAAGTGTGTCTATGTCCTGATTCGAATCTAGACCTAAGATTAGCGGGCAGATACGTTATCCACTAAGCTATTATAAGACAAAAGCAATCTAGCCTTACAAAGAACTAAGATGAGTCACTTTTGTCTTGGTACGTAAGCTGACAATGTTAAGAGTACAGCAACCTAAAAGAAAGGGAATGGTTGAAAGTTTTGAACGCACTGGTGTTTTAGTATGAATTAGAGCTAGACTGAGGTAGCTTGATTATAAGCTGCACGTAAGTGAAAGCACGTGGATATTTTTTCATCGTGTGTTGATAAAGAGATCTCTCGCGAAAGCGTTTGCTCAATCTAACCACCATGCGTTTCATCCGTCATTTGAAATAGCGGCCTGAAGCAGTTATAATTCATATAAATGGGTTCATTCTTTCTTTAAATTTGCAAACAGTTTTAATACGATAGCCAATACGAGTAAAACGATAGATGCAGTGCACGCATAGTCGCTAAAAATCTTACTCGGATACGTAAGAAACAAAACATAAAGTATCAGTATACAAAGTATAAACATAAAGTAAAATCAAAAATAATCTAATAACCTCAAGGGACCTAAAACTTGCGAAAAAGTGCAATGAACCTAAAAAAGACCAACTGTCTCGGCTTGAATGTGGACTCAATTGGCACAGGACACTGTCGTCTAGAAAACAGGGGCTGGTTTTTGTATCATAGTTCTGGAACCAGCAGAAATATACCTTTATGCCAATTCGAACCTTTTCAAACCTAAACTGGTTGTGGATTTCCTGCTGTGTCTGATGAAAATTGTGGAACAGGAAGACTAACAACAATGTTGGCCGCTGATTTCCGCCAACTAGACAAGTTACACCTTTGTGGGGAGGTCATCTGGTGTGAACACATTGCACAAGAGCTGATTCTCTTTGACATTCCGAAAATATACTTCGCACTTTCACCGAGGTGAGTTTGCGACTTTCTTCTGGAAGGAACTAGCTCTTTTATCGTACTATAATATATATATATATATATATATATATATATATATATAAATAGTGAATAAACCCATGTACATTACCCCAAGCTGCCAATCATAATATGTATCACTCGATCCCGAACACCCTTTAGGGTCAGTCGCAGAACCAGTGTTGAATAATTGAAAATTAATTCTGATCTAGCCATGTCCAGTGTTTTGTCGCGAAGGCTGTTGGAAGCTTTGAAAAGGCTTCGGCTGTTGACCAGACCTTAAATTTGATTCTCTGTTTCTCCCTAGAATAATGGTCCTTTAAGTAACGGCAAATCCTTGCCGTGTTTGAATATCCTTCTTATTCTTATTTCGGACAACAAAAACTAGTCTACTTGTCGCCGCATATCCTTTGTAGGGGCATTTTTTTTTCTTGCATTAGAATCATGTAAGCCGTCATATCAACCTATTTAGTCGTTGTTTGTTTTAGAATTGTATATTCTTTTATAATACTGAATTTCAATTACGCTCTTGAAAAGGTAGTGTCTTTTTTGCTTTGCTCTTACTTTCGCCGAGTTTCTTCAGTTGAAAGAAAAACTATTATTATATTATTAACATTATATTAGGCGACTCAATATGAACTGCAAGAATTATTGATTTTCCTTGTAAAGAAGGCTATTTGATAATGGTACAATATCCCCGATGTGCTTCCAGGTTTATTTGACGAGTACCTCTTGCTGCTTGGAAATATATCAGGACATATGCCGATTTTTCGCGGCACTCTCCGCAGTTCCTAAAAAAAACCGAATTTTTTTCTTTTGTATTAGTGTATCTACAAGGCATTAACTAAGGTCTACTGAAATATGGAGCGCGTTTCGCATATCCTGATGATTTAGAAATAGGTAGTGTGGTAATACTGCTTTTCTTTCTAAATAAAACCACACGGTTTCAACAGTCGACGGAACAACGTTTTCTTCTGCCCGTTATGAGAAATATAAATGTACAAAAGACTGAAAATTTTTTCCTTGAAAAACCAGCACAGCTAAATAAACACTTTAATATGAATTATGTTTAGGGATCTTATTATTAAAAAAAAAAACGATGCCTCTGCTGATTCGTACAAATTAATGTCGCTTACCTCCATGAAAAAAGTTCAGGAATCTTTTTTACTTCACTAGTGTTGTTTACTGTCGGGTTGTATTTCAAAGATACGAATGGTGTTAGTCATTTATTACCTCTCTCTTTCAGCAGCAAAGTACAGGTGCACTTGACCAAATCTGAATACAGGGCCCAGGGTTCAGTAGGTTAAAGTCCTACAGCGTAAGACGAATGCTTCAACTGCAAAATCTGGTGAAACCTTAGACCTTAACCTAATTTGAACAAAATAGTAAATCCCGAAAACCACTTTTTGAATATAAGATCAAGACACTTATGAAACCAAAAATTCATTAAAAGCTATGCTTCTGCTAATTTCATGACCAAAGACCTAAGTACCGAAGATTGATTTTTAGCCGTAAGATGGAACCGCTGCTCTTTACAAATTGCAATACCCTTGAATAAAGCAGCGATATGTCCGAATTTACAGCAGTTCTTTGACAATGGATAAATACGCTTTAGAAGATGTGACCATTTCTGTACAGGCAGTGACTTTGTTCAAACATATAGAAATTACAATGACGCTGTCACATGATTCCGACCTCCCAGTTACCCAGAAAACTGTTTCAGCGTTAATTACTATTGGCCTTACTTTTAAAAAAATGAAAAATCCTACATTTTACATGAATCTTTACAGAGGTTTCGTTATTAGCAAATCCCTATATTGTTCCAAAGTTTACGAACCTTATATTAAGAAGCACATTGATACTGATAAGTGAACTCAGAATCAGTTTATTCATAAAGCCATCTTCAGATGCGACGTTAATAAAACTAATCTATCTGTTCAGTTTATATCTAAACTATACCCAAAAGTAAGCGTCACACATACAGTAAGCCACGAAAATCCGATAATATATCATAATTCATCAACGTCCTCGAAGAGACGATAATGGCATAAAAAAGGCTTGGATTAAGAGGCTAAAAATATTCTCGTCGAGAGTTGTCCACGAACTTTGTCATAGACAGACTTCGATAATATTATGTTTTCAATTAGTATTTTTTATTTTATATAATTACTGTTTTTTTTTCTGAAAATTGCAACGCAATGCTACTGCTAGTAGGATCATTGTTTATGCTGCTGAAACATTTTAGATTTATTGACAATTCGCCTTCGCGACAGCTCAATATGCACAAATCTGGTTTGTCTTAACTTGTAAATCGCCAAATTCAGGCAACCACAGTTGTTTGTAATTTCTGTATGGCGTGAAAACTTAAGCTGACCTTGGCTTACAACTGGAACGTATGTTTTTTTTACCTCCACTGGTTATGGCAGGCTTACTTTTTCATTTAAAAAGAAAGCTGCTCTCATTTTGGTACTGAGAATGAATGCCCGTTAACGCAAAAAGCTCGCTAAGCGTTGCACCGATTCGTTCCACACACTTTATTTTATCAGTAACAACAAACACAACTTTTTAGACACGAGGTGAGGAACAGAAATTCGTCGAGTATGTATGCAACTACACACGCGCCAGACCCTTAATGATTCAAGCCGTTTATATACTTCGGGTAGATGTTTTGATTTATCTTTCGAAATTATTCCTAAGTGCACTTCACAAATCTGTATCAATGGCAGGCCTTTAGGCTAGTATCTGTTTTACTTAGAACACATAAATCGACCTTGATCGCTAACATAGCCTGCCACGTCCTTTGTGTAGAAGAGGACGCTCAAACAGGGGCGTCAAACTCCGCCTACAGAGTCTTACTTGGCGCCCATAGTTCCTATTATCCTTTCCCAAGAATGAAGTTATTCCGCCGAAAAAGCTGAAAAGGAGCATAAATCGCATGCAACAAATTATACTAACATACTGCCAATAAACTGGCCTAAGTTGTTTAATAGCTAATAAATCAGTTCAATTACACAATGTTATTATTATTGCTAAGTTCCTATGCCTTGACTGACCCAGCTTATAAACGTTTATTTTTCGTAAAACAAAATATAAAAATAGTAGTGTTTGGTTGAAAATTGAGCACGTAAGTAAAACAAAATATACGGTAAAGGATGAGACAAACCATTTCTTTTGATTGTTTTTTACTATTGGCAACCGAAACGTAGTTTAACTTTACTAAGTAGTCTGTCTTCATGCCGAGATGCTGAACGCGAGAGGCAGAAGTAGATATGTAGTGAACTTAATGATACCTTTACGAATTTGCACAAGTAATTATTATTATTGAGTAACTATTATTTGAAATAGTGATACCCTGAGTTTTTTGCAGTTTGCAAAAAAACAGATTAATTTAATGTTTGCAGACAGCACTTTCGAATAAAGACATGGCAGTAAATAATAATGTGAGTAATTGTTGGAAAATAGTGAAAACGTTTTACATCATGAGAAATCCACTAACTGCTAACATAAACGCCCATAGCAATGTTCGCTTTCAAAGCGGTAAACAGCTAAAGAACTACTATAGGGTAAGGTACATAAAGACGCTGCTTCTGTATCGTTGTGTGGTAGTATCTGCTTTGGTGGATGATCAACGCAGTAGACACTAGAATGGAGCCCGGGAGAGGACACTTTTTATTAAGCATTTACACTGAATGGACAGCGTTATATACGCCAACAATATAAATACGTACAATCTCTGTTCATGTATGTCTTTATCTATTCCATACCGGTTAAATTCCGGCCAATGCCACTTGGGTGGGATGACCGTGCGGTGTTCCCATTTGCTGTTTTCTTGACTCACCACTATGAGCCAAGGAAACAGAATAGCATAGCAGGAAGTATAGTACAGTGTATGTGCTTAAGACGAATGTATCCAAACTTTAGATGCCTACACCCTTCCTCCTTGTGCCGCGCCACTACCATACATATACATACCCACTAGACTTCTTCTGCCCATGGACGAATTAAGGACATATGTTTGTAGCGCGCTTAACCGGAGTTCCTCTCAACCCTCCGGTTTGCCTAGCTCGTTCGGGTTGGAGGGTTTTTTTTTCTTTTCACTACTTTGTCGGACACGGACGACATGATCCATCCGTAGCGCGCACAAGAACTACTCGAAGGTAGTAGGATAGTTCTTTCTCTCTAACCAGAGCTGGCTAGGTTGTCGTTCACATGAAAGAACCTAGGTCGGACGCAAATGAATAGATAGGAAGCTCAGCCGTTAGTCGTTTTGTGACATCGTTGTTCATTACTAAATAGGTTCTGCCGCATGTACTATTATGTGGTCATTTCAGGACCAGCAGACTGCGAATAAAAAGATGCAAATTGCAGAATTAGATTGTCGTACAAGTTAGTTGGACTAGGCTAGCACGCATCTAGCTCTCGACCTAGACCTTATGGATTGTGTCTACGTGGTACCACACTCTAGAGAGCCGGTGGTATCGGAAGTAATCCTGAGCTATATTGGACCATAGAAGGGCACACACACATGTCGTGCGTTAGATACATGGTCAAAATAAATAACTCTATGAAATAAAGGCTAAATACAAAGGATGAGAATAAATATGCAATGAGGTAACTAAAACAACAAAATTTGATACTTTTCGTTAACTCCTTTTTATTAACTAATATAGGGTAGCTTGCCGCATGAAATTAATTACCGGATGTTTAACGTTTACCAATAACCCCGTACTTGACCTGATAGCCACAGAAAAATACTTTGTTCTTAAGCCGCTTTATTAAAACTTGCGCTGATAATCTTTGGAAAAAACTTCTCCAATCTATTATGATTTTATGGCTATGGTGTAAGTTCGTAGTTAAAAGTTTCTGGCTTTGGCACAGCAGTGCCGATCTTTTTAGCGATATATCGTGTATAGCTGAAGAAGCGCGCTTTATCCCATTCTATAAATGATCGTTCTTTGGTTGACGTAAGGACTCCTAATTGGCCTGCTAGGAGATTTTTAAAGAAAGATCGGTCCTTCTTGTTCGATCATCGAGTCAGACATTGGGGTAGTTGCAGTATCACTGAAAAGTTTATAAGCGGAAAATATTCCTTATCGCCATTTTGAGTTGGTCATTTCCTACCTCCCAGAAATATTATACTCGTATAAAATATGTAGGTTTCCCCTACAGTTGTACAGTTTTGCGTGCTGTCGAAATAATGCCAGGGTGTTTTCACCATGAAAATGGTTTTTCACTTTTCTTTAATTAGAAAAAAAAAAAAAGGAAATTTGTATATTCTTTGTAAATCAAAACCAGCGAGTTCCTTACTATATTTATATTTTTTTAGAATACATAATTCAAAAATGAACATGCATATCATCATACGCCCTGTAAGATTTCACGATTTCCTTACGGTTCAGTATATTATCAACATCGCCGGTAATTTGAAAAAGGCACCCCATGCTTAATTCAGAAACTAAATGTTCTGCCTGAAGATACATATCTTTGTTGAAATAATATGGCTACGCATTCTTTAATAGCTAATGGACGGAGTGCCAGATTGAAAGAAGCGCTTGTAAAGTCATCTCCTGGAAAAAGGACTATACAGGTTTCTTCTGATTTAGAACTTTGCCGTACTTTGATACCGTGAGCACTGTTACAAGAGCAAGACAGTGAAAGATGCAGTGGACTTCGTCGCGAAATACAAGACACGGTCTACTACTTGCTCCTTTTCTAGGCCTTAGCTACCCTGTTTTTCTGATATATAAGAGAATTAATACAGCGTCACCTTTCACCACTCTTGCGTAGACTGCACTATTGATTCTATGACATCTGTCCTATCCCAAGAGAGTCAAGTAGATAGTGGATTTTTGATTTGACCTTCTAGCTGGACAGCGAGAGGAGACAGCCACCAGGACAAACGGAAATGCCGCGGAAAATGTGGAGTGAAGATGAATTGCAACGGAAACAGAGATTTATTCGCCCAAACTCCTGCTTAGAGTGTTCCATCAGGCTTCCGCGGACGGCCAAGTTAAGTTTGTCTAATGAAATCCATCCTCACATAGATTTCCTTGACATTAAGGCCCAATAGAGAGATGGGAATGGACCTAGCCTTTAAGCGCATTTTTTCGACTCAAAATCTTCCTAGATTCGATATTCAGGCGCTTTGTTTGGTTACCGTAAAGTTATATTTATGTATAAAATAGTTGTGCCTTAAATGAACGTATTTCCGTACTTGCAAGTACATTAACATTTACACTGGTTTATACACATACAAGTATGCTCTCTTCAAAATGGTGGAATAAGGGTAAGCTGGAAGAACAATTTGCGATAGCTCTCAATACGGTTATCTCTTCTTAAATCGTCTCTTTCCTCAAATTCTTGGAGCGTTTATTCATCGAGTTGGGTAAAAAAGTTATCACGCGCGTCGTCAGCCGTCATAGTCAGCCCCAGATGCTACTATACTTAGGCACTTTAAATTTACAAGTATTTTATATACTCATTCGGTCCAATTATTGACCATGTTAAGTTCGAGGCTAGAAGCTCTACCGTATAATAGATTAAGCTTTTAATTTGATTGTATTCGCACAGATAAAACATTGTCTTCATTTTCTTAAATTTCACTTCACTTCGTGAGAATTTCTCTTTAGATTTACAAAGATGGATTCATTTGAATTTATTTAATTATCGTTTATTCAAATGCTGGAAAAAGCTTTTCGAGTAAATTCATTCATAGCTTCTTTTGCCAGTATCCAAGTGCTCTATTTCAAATGAGACGGTGACTTTAACATGATATCTTTCTAGTCGAAGACTTACCTTGATATGAAGCCAATTAGCAACAAATCGTATCAAAACGGTGACACAGTTACCGAGGATCTAGTGATGGCCAACCCGGCCCAACGCAAACTTTACTCTGTGAACGCTTTAGATCACGTATGCCCATAAAGCCTGCGGCAAAATATGGTGGCTAACCGCGTTGTCACTGCATCTATCAGATCATTCAGAATTGAAATGCCCCGTTATATCTCACACTAGTCACATCTGAACCGCATGCTTTAAGTTAGATTGTTGACCATCCAGTACTGCATTTGGAAAATATATACTAACACTTCTGTTTATAACAAATAACGTGGTCATTTTTTGACTGCAAGCCAGTAGTTCTCACTGTTTATCCAGTTCGCTGGCAAACATTATCTTTACGATCATTAAGAGATCAAATTAATTATCAGAAAAAGAGTCATCAATATGACGGCTGTTTTTTTTTAATATTCGGAACTGCACATGCCCAAACTTATTATTTCAAAATTATACTAAATATCAATGGGTACATTGTTTTATTTTAAAATATCTTTAGAGATTTTCCGGCGCGTTTAACACCAAAAAAAGAAGTGCAAAAACGTCATTTTCAGGATACAGACTTACCATATGGTTCGAGTCGTAGTAGAATTCGGACGTTTCCCTCCATACCAATGGAGACTTTTCTATTTTGTAAACGCTTAAAGTGGTTCGACTAGTCTCTGAAGTTTCGATTTCGAACTCTGAACATTTTGGTTAGGCGGAGGGTTGTACTCCTCTTATCAGGATTCACCTTGGGTGCGGCTCCGCTATTTCCTTCGTGGACAGAGCTTGTGATGTCCTACCAGGTTAGAGATATTTTCTAGGGTCATCGTATCTCCTATTGCACGCTCCCGTAAGAGTCGCATAGAAATAAAATGACATTACTTTTATGACTCGGGACTGTTTTAGAGATGTGCAGGCTTCTAGTACGTAAAACCATTTGCATTGGTCTATGTACCCGTAGAGAATATTTAATTTGTGAATCTTACCCGTTTACAACAAAATATGGAATCTCTTGTTCTTGAATAATCGTTAAGCAGCTCAATAAATCTATTATTTTACTCTTATTATCGAAGTCGGCAGTAGAGTGATTTTAGATTTCACGACCTCATCACGAAGACTCTTCATTTCTTCCATTTTCTATCCTGTTGTATTCTTCATGCGGTATCTAATAGCAGTTCACGTTTTTCGGTTTTCTTAGTTATTAAATGCCAAATATGGGTTTCAGTAAAGATTAGACAACAGTTTAATGCCCTTTTGCGGGAGTACCTTTTTGAGTCATAATGACATATAAATCAATACGGGCTGTTATACAGTAGAACTTTTTTCAGCTAGAAAGCACAGGAATAAGTCGGTTGCCTGGCCAAATTTGAACCCGTTTACGCCCTATTGCAAAAATGTTGTCCACGGGCTTTGCTACACAAACCGTTGTTTTTTCCTTGTTTACAGTACTTGTTTGGTTTTATTTTTTTGCAAAAGCCTTAGGCCTTCATATAGGCGTTTAATCTACAAAGCGATATATCCTACAATATGTGTCCCGAATCTGCTTTATACAGGGACATCTTTAAGATCGTATTTCGCAGAAGATGCTGTGTCATCTATTGGCGTTCGCGTTAAAATCCGTTAGCGGTATTTGGTACGTATTGATTTTTAGGCATTTACTGATGAGTGACGTACTCTGCTAGGTTAAAGTAGGCAGTTTTAAGCTGTCTCGAAATTCCTACACTGTTAGAATGAGCAGCGGTTTTTTTTTTGTTATTTTCAGGTTTCAAGTTCGACTTATGAAACCATCAAAATGACACTGCAAATTGATAGAGGGGGCAAAGAGATTCCTGACATTGCAATCATTGGTTCACTAAAGACAATTATTAATTTAATTGTGTGTGGCTTCTTCTTTGTGGAACAATTGGCCGGGTTAAAGCTAGAAAATCCCATATATACAATAATAAAATATAGAAACTAGTTTTTGATCTATTACTGCTACACGAATTTTGTATAGCACTTAAGGTACCGGCGCAGAGTCGGCTGAAACGTCAAAAGTGATTTGCCAAGCGATAACTATCAGAAAAGTCGTTTTTGCACCGTGAAGGGATTTTGTCGGGACGGGTCAGTCAGTCGCACGCTTTGCATTGAGATCTGACGCCTCTGGAATCTTAGAATATAAAATAGATTTTTTAGCCGGCCTCACCCAAGATGACAAAAACAGGCTAGCGTAGTGCAGAATTATAAATTTGGGCAATCAAGCTCGCTTTGGCGTTTGCTAAGGAAAATGTAACCGCTGATGAGCGAGCCCACTCTGGGCAGCTACGGCCCGAATCTCTAAGCCGCTACCCTAATTTGGAAATCTCAAAGAAAAGAACAAATTTTTATCAGACCCATGAGACACATTTTCGATGCATTTGAAAGAACCGCTTGATATTACCGTCGGTGTGACACGGAGTGCTATAGTC